ACTCCATTTGTGGTGAGTGTTGAGCTTGAGGCTGTCAATTCAGTAATTTCTGTGGGTGACAGTGTAGATTGTGGCTCTGTGGATGAGGACATCATTGTTGTAGATGTTTCCGGGCTGGTTGATGAAGGCTGAGTGTTGCTGGTACTTAGTATTGAAGATGAACTTGTGTGTTCAGTAGATGCTTGAGTGGAATGAGTAGGGAATGTAGGTTGTGAATTTGTGGAGACCTCTGAAATCGTGGATGAGGTGATGGTTGTTGCGGAATGATCAGTGCTGGAAGGTTTTGTGACTCCAATTGTGGTGAGTGTTGAGGTTGAGGCTGTCAATTCAGTCATTTCTGTGGGTGCCAATGTAGATTGTGACTCTGTGGATGAGGACATCATTGTTGCAGATGTTTCCTGGCTGGTTGATCGAGGCTGAGTGTTGCTTGTACTTAGTATTGAAGTTGAACTTGTGTCTTCAGTAGATGCTTGAGTGGAATGAGTAGCGAATGTAGAGTGTGAATTTGTGGAGACTTCTGAATTTGTGGATGGGGTGATGGTTGTTGCGGAATGATCAGTGCTGGAAGGTTTTGTGACTCCAATTGTGGTGAGTGTTGAGGTTGAGGCTGTCAATTCAGTCATTTCTGTGGGTGCCAATGTAGATTGTGACTCTGTGGATGAGGACATAATCGTTGTATATGTTTCCGGGCTTGTTAGTAGACGCTGGTCACATTGTGGGCCATAAAACTGCTCCAGGCTAGACTCAAAGCACCTGGATGAAGCCATAAGGGTGAATCATGTTAATAAAATCAATAGTATGAGCAAAAATATAAGACTTTTTTTGCAATTAAAATAAAAAGAGATGTTTTGTCTTACCTACAAATAGGCCCTTTGTAAATGTCATTGTGGCATTCTCCATGTTGATGACAGTAATCTGGGTTTGTTTCGCAAGGTCCAACACACTGCCATTGACCATTACTAATCTCAGCGGTGTAATTAGCAAACTGAGTGCAGTTAACAAAAGGCTCCAGGTCTTTGATATCTGATTGATGAAAAAAGTGATGTATTTGTCTTTGTGCACAAGTACCATGATACAAACATAGAAATTCTAACAAATTAAATGAAGAAACACTGACTGTGTAAAGTAGCAAAAAGTTAAATAAACGTATTTAGAAACTGACATGGAGTGCACTTACTTGTAATCTCAGGGAAAGGTAAAGTGATTCCATTTAACAGCACACTTGCATTAAAGGCCTGAGAAATATTATTGAGGTTACTTGTGTCCTTCAAGATAGCAGTCAACACTCCATCAAGCTGAGTGTTGACAAACTCGATTTGAGTTTCATTGTTTGCATAGTTGTATTCTGCCACGGTCTCTGCAACAACACTTCCTGGTCTGCAACAGAAAAATAGAAACATAAGCATAAGAAAAAAACTTGCACTTAATTAAAAATTAATTTAAATAATTTTGTCAGTCAAATTTAATGAAACCTACGATAACTTGATGACTTTTAGAGTTTTATAGCTTTGTGGATCTGCTTCTTTGCACAGGACTTCAAGCTGGAACACAAGACCGGCGTTATTATAACATAGTTATGGTAATAAAGCCACCTTGTTGAATATTAACATAAAAAAATAAATACCAAATTAAAAAAAAAGATTTCTTTAATAAAAAAATCATTACTAATTTTGCCTGTTGATTCAATATTATGTTATAAGATATGATAAGATAGAAGACATAATACATGAGTAAATACTGAAATAAGATAGATTATTGGATAATAAGTCACAGTAACAGTAAGAACAAAAATATACCTGCGGTTTTAATGTTTTGATGAATTCTGAAGATATATGTGAGTTCAAATTATTGAAAGCCTCATTAAAAGTGATGTTGATTTTCAAAGAAAAATTGACTTTTCGAGTTGGTATTGCTCCAGTATCTGCAAAAAATATAAATAAATAAAACATTAAATCAACATTAAATATATTGCAATAACATTTTGAATTCAAAACTAAAGTAAGAATTATCAGTTACAAAAGCAAACAAATTTAAAAAGAATTTCTTGCTAAAAGTATCAATAAACAATATTTTCAGGTACTAGAATATATTTAAAAAAAAACTATATTTAGGGATGAAAAACCTCACCAATATGAGCAGAGGTAATATTCTCTCCAAAAACGCACACATCTCCAAGGACAAACGCTGGACATTTGCAGTGACATCTTCCAAGTGTTGCGTTAAATTTACAGGTACCAGTACACCCAGGACA